CCTTTCGATTCTATGAGCTACCTGATCCTTTCCAACAATGTTCTCTGCTATGTATTTAAATTCACTAGCTTTGTCTTTTCTTGGCTGCAGTGATATCCCTGACTGGAACAGGAGCAATGGGAGAGGACAGTGGTGGGGTAGGTGGGTTGGTAGTGGAGGAACTCACTTCAGATAAGGTGACCCAGGAGGGCCTCTCTGAGGAGGTGCCATTTGCCAGGAGACCTGAATGGGAAAGTAGAGTCAGTGGATGACAAGTGGGAGGAGGGGCATTTCAGGTAGAGGGGGCAGCACAGGCCAAGGCTCAGAGGTGGAAGCCAAGAGGTCTGGATGGCTAGGGTGTAGCGAGCAAGTAGGTGAGTGGAGGGAGAAGTCAATGAAAGCCAGAGATCACACAGGAATGGTGGAAAGATTTGGATTACTCTCTCCTAACCAAAGCTGCCTCTGATTCCAGACATTGGAGCCCAAGAAGGCTGTGAACCAGACCTAAGGTTTCCTTCTCTAGGAATCTGGATCAACCAAATCATGACTAGTTCAGGAGCAAGATAAAAATCTATACTTTGTTAACTCACCAATCTGTTTTTTGTTTGTTTGTTTTTTCTTTTCACCCATCAGTTTTGCTGGCTCTTTGGTTTTCCTTAATTTCTGGTTGGATTATTCATTCCTGAGGCTTTTAGCTCTCTCTGATAAAGCACAACCCAACTCTGCTGAGCTGAAGGGGAAGATTTTTGTCCAAGGTTGGGCTGGGAATGCCAGCTAGAGAGCCTGGTCATCTGGTGGAGATGGACAGCTATGCAGGACAGTGTAGAATGAGCAGGAGGATCCTGATGGATCCCTTCAGTCTCATGTAGTCCGACCTTCACTCAACAAAGAGTTGTTCAGTGTTCAGCGTGTTTCTGGGCTCTTTGTAGGCATCAGGCTACGAAGATCCTTCTTTCTAGATATCGTTAGGTGTGAGGAATGGCCCAGTCCAAGGTTAATGAGTGGGAGTTCCCGTCATTTAGGAGCTGGCACTATGGCTCATGGCCAAAATCAACAGGCCCTATGCAAATAGGAGGCAGATACTTTCCCTTCAAGGGGGCAGAACTGGCCCTCTATCCCTTAGCCAAAACATCACTTTCTTTTTTTCTTGTCCGTTTAATAATCGTAGAGAAGGAGGCATTCTCTGGTTTTATTGAGGACTATATGTTATGGTGGAAGACAATACTTCACAATTTAATTGGGAGTCTCTCATGGAAATTGAAGGGTGACCGCAAGAAAGGATGCTGGGATGCTGTTGCCCGGTGCGGGGTGGTCTACTGGGTAGTGGAATTGCTGATGTCCCCCTATGCCTATGCCTCTGCCTATGAGCAAGGGAGAAGAGAGGTGGAGAGAGGGGTCACTGTGGAGCAGTTGCCTGGGATGCATGAGTTTCTCTGGTCAAGTGGGCCCTGCAGTAGTTAGCCAGGCTTCCTGGTGTCACACCAAGCAGTCTGATTGCAAGAGGGTCTTCCCAGTGGCAGGGGCCTAGGTGGTGGGGGAAGGAAGGAGCACTCAAGCCTGAGCTGGATGTCCCCTTCAGAGAGCTGTGCAGTGGGGAAGCACCCAAGAAATTTATTCATGTGCCCCATGACAAACCGTATATGGACCATTGCCACTCTGGGTTGGCTGGGGAAGCAGGGTTGATGGAGAGAGAGGGCCATTTCAGAGTGCTATTCCTCCTCCATTCTCTCAATATCAATAAGGGGGCAGGTGCTGGGGCATGTCTTCCAACCAGACCATGTTCTCCCTAACCCCCACCTTTCATCCAAGCAGGCAGGCACATGGCTCAAGTCAACCCTTGGATGAGTAAAGGAGACAAGAAAATGAGACTTAAATTGAGTTTGAGAATAAAGCTTTCAAGGATGGAAGTTTAACAACAGAAAGTGATCCAAAAGTAATGCAATCTGCCCACGATGTCATTAGGGATGGAAAACGGAGATTCAACACAGCAGGGCTGAAGGCTGAGATTGGGGAGAGAAAGCTTCATCATTATGCCCCACCGAGTTGAGTCGCTTCAGTACACTGGTTTCACGAGTAAACAGAAGAATCAAAACATAGTGCAGTAGGGCTGGAGTCTTGCACAGGTAAGCGTTCTGCGAGAGCGTGGGGACATCCCAGGGTGGCTGTCGTAGAGGGCTTTCCAAAGAAGTGTCACCGGAGCTGAGCCTTGAAGGGTGAGAAGGAGTTTGTCCAATAAAAGGAGAGTGGAGAAGAGCTTTCCAGGCAGAGGTGACAGCACAGTCTGGAGCAGCAAGATGAAGGCAGGAGCGACAGTTAGATATGCAGGCCAGTAGTCCATGACCTTGGGCCCTTCGAACCTAAGGGGTGAGGGCTCTGGGGAGTTGTTTCAAACCTGGGAGCAACACAATGGGGTTTGCATATTACAACTGTTTGTTTGCCAGGTTCTGGCAGTGCTATGGGCTTGACCTTCAGGCATACTTCTTACCCACTGATCTGGGCCTATGACCCCTAACTCCCCTAACAAAGGCCATTTTCTCTGTGATTCCAAAATCCTGGGCCTCCACTCTTTTACTGCCCTTTGCCCTACTCCCATCATTAAACCCTTCATAGTTCTCCTCTTTGATGGGACTATGAATTATTGCCACCCTCCCCATAAATCATCTTCTCTTTTTCCTCTTCCAACAGACTCTTTCCAGCCCAAGAAGATCCTGTGCCTTCTCTGGGTCGGTGCCTGCCAGCACATGTTTCCTCAAGATACGCTTATACTAAAATATCTCCCCTTTATCCTGTCTGGTCTTCTCCCCATGGGGCCGCCCGAAGGCTACTATTTATTCTTTTACACATTAATTTAAGCTGCTTTAATTGCCACTCTGATATTTTTTATATAACATAATTAATGTTTTAATTCTGTGTGCTTGCTTCCCAAGGCAGTTTTATGAAGGGCCCAATTTTGAAATCAAGCAAATAAAGAATAAGTAATAGCTGAAGTTATTACAGGGACGCCCCCTTCACACCGCTCCAAAGGGATTAAAAGTGTGCTGGTTTTTCTGAAGTGGCTTAAAGAGGAAAACGATATTTTAATGTTCTCTTCATCCTGGGCCGGTTTGGGCGGCTTTCACGAAGTCCCCTGGGTGCTGATTTCAAGTGTTACCCACCGTTGGCATCTGAATGCCAGCTTGAGGTCTGTGTGGCAACTACCAGCGCTGCAGCCCATGCCTCTGTTTCCTCCCTCATGGAGGGTGCAATTAGAACGATAAGTCAGTGAGCCCACTTCCTCCCTCATCCATTCAGCAACTGAGTATCAGTATTCTACCACGTGCCCAGGACTGGCTGGGATAGGTTCAGTCCTGCCTTCGGGGAACCCACAGTCTAACGTGGCGGGGCAGATAGACTTACAGCCCAGCACGCTGATGCTGTGGGGACACAGGGAAGGGGTAAGGTGGGACGGAGTATGTACTTGTGTCTCAGAGTTCAGAGGACACTGAAGAGGAGGTAACACTTAAGTTGGTTCCAGAAAGAAGAAGGGAAGGAAGACTACAGCAAGACACAGTTGGAAAAGTAGTAAGAAAAAACCAAAACAAAACAATTGTGTGTTTGGAAAACTGAGAGGCGAGCATGGCTGAAGCCAGTAGGCGTGGGAGGACGTGCAGGGAGTGAGTGGGGACATGGGTGGGGGCTGAGGGAAGAAGGGCTCGCTCTTCAGGGGGGAATTTGAACTATCCTGAGGGTGTCAGGGAGCCCAGAGAGGCTTTTAGGGTTTTTAAGTAGCAGAGTGTTCTGATCAGATTTATAAAGGTCACTGCAGTATGAAAACGGGGGTAGAGACTTAGAGTGGGAGTGACTGGCATATAGCAGGGGCTCCATAGTATTTATTGAATAACGGAGGTTGTTGGGGCATCCCAGAGAAAGATGATGAGCCTCTGTGTTAGGGTAGCGGCAGAGGTGATGAAAAAGAGGGGATGGATTCCAGAGGTGGCCCTTTGCATCAGAAACTAGGAGGATGGGCTTAGCAGCCCCCTGCTCTCCCTCCCTGCCAGCTCTGTGCACCTTGGCCTTTGGCCTAGCCCAGAAATTCAGAGCTTGGAGGGTAATCAACCCAACCACTGTGTAGTTCAAGTCCTTCAAGTTTCGTGGGGGAAAAATTGCGCTGGAGGGAATTCCGCCCATCAGGGGCAGAGCCTCGGCAGGATCCCAGGAGCCCAGGTGTCTGCTGTGTGCTGCGGAGCAGAGAATGTTAGCACTGGTCCAAGAAAGGCTTGGAAGGCCAGAACCTCGGAACTGTAGGTACAAAGGTGTGTGTCTTGATGCAGAGCAAGAGGGCCGGAGTCTCCTAAGATTCTCAAGGGGTCCTACGATCCCACAAAAGGCGGTCTGCTCAAAGTGCTTAGTGACAGATGGAACTGGTATGGAATAGAATCTGGTGGGAGGGGGGCACATGGATGGATGGATGGATGGAGGCGAGGCTGGGACGCTGTGCCCTCAGGAGGGAATTTTCTTTGAAAGAGAAACTCCAAGTTGGGAAATTCTTTTCTTTGAAACGCCTCCCCGGCCCTCCTCCCCACAGCTCAGCTGTGGCCTTCCCTTTTTCTGGGATGCGGGGAACTTTCTCAGGCCTCTCCACCTGCTTTGAGGACGCTTTCGGTTCTGCTGGGGTTCCCGCAGGCGGCGGGGAAGAACCGTGAGCATCCCTGTGGTGTCTTCCCAGCATCCGCGGGGATCTTTCCTTCCTTCTCTATTCACCCCGCTCCCCAGGAAGCCGGCCGGTGCCTTCCTCTCTTCAGACTGGCCTTTGTAGTCCCGAGACTAAGGAGGAAAAGCCTTCCCTGCCAACCTCACCCTCCTTTGCCAGCGCGTCCTTAACTCCCGGGAAAATTAGACTCCAGGGAATGTCCTGGGGGAATCCCTGGCAGCTGGTGGCCCAGAACTCCGCCCCCCCTAGCGAGGCTGGCCGCGATTGGCCCTCGCAGACCACGCGCCCTTCGTGGGCGGGGCCAAGGGCTGGGGCCAGGGAGTTACTAGAGACTCGGCCCCGAGCGCACGTTCCTCCGCCCGCTTCGCAATGGTTGGTCTTCCTCGGCGATGTCTCCTCGTGGGCTTCTTGCTGGCCGCCGTGAGTTGAGTCTCTGCTCCGACCCGACGGGGGAGTTTGGGCTTTGAGAGAGGGGAGCGGGAAAGGAAGCAACACTTCGGCGAAGGGACCTTTCTAGCTTGATTGTTGGGGACACCAGGGTGGGTGGAAGCTGCGCAAGGCACCGGCGGTCCTGGCTGAATGCGGTGGGCTGCCTCTCTCCCCTCCCAGGTCGGGGTTCCAGGGAGCCCACGGAGGGGGCGAAGTGGGGACTCTGCGGGGAAGGTGCCTGGACAACGTGGATGGGGTGGGGGTGTGGGGAGCCTCGAGGCTTCCTCTGGCCAAAAGGCTGGGTTTGCCTCCGAGGCCGGCGACGCAGAAGTGGAAAGGGGGGCGGGACAAGGGAAGCGGCGGGTCTGGCTGGTTTCCTGTCCCTTACGCGTGTGGACAGATGTCCGCCGCTGGGAGTGGTTATCTCCTTGCCAGCAGGGGCTGCCTTCTTCCAGGGCATCTTGTGGGAACCAGGGGCGGTGCAACCTGGGCGGAATGCTCACGGCTGTGTGTCTCCGAACTCCGAATTTAAGACGACGCAGGGAACCTCGGGGGAAGATGAACAGTTTGTGGGACCCAAGAAAGGGTTTCTCCGGCGTCAGAAGGGCTCAGATATGTCCAGCCAAGCGTATCTCCGGGATTTTCAGAAGCCCTCACTTGTCTCTCTTTTTGTTTAAGTGTATTTTTTGTAGTTCCTCATTCTGGAGGGCGGGAATCCCCCAAGTACCTCACCCTCTCATTCCAGCCCCTGCGGCGACCCCCTGCTTTCAAGGGCTGTAGTTTCTGGCCCCGAAGTCTGAGCCGGAATTACCCAGGGAGTAGGTAGCAAGGGAAGGAAATCGTGGGGAAGCCATTTCGGTCCCAGAACTTGCGGTTTCACTCTCAGCAATGGCTTTTGGGGAGAAAGGAGGCAGGAGGAGGATGGAGCTGGGAAGAGGGGCGTTCTTCCAGGAAGAGGGGAAGGAGAGCCAGAGAGAGAGAGAGAGAGAGAGAGCGCGCGCGCGCGAGGGTCCTTTGGGTTTCTCGAGAGCATACTCACATTTTTGGCTCCAGGTAGCAAAACCGGGCTGTGGCAACAACAGCAGCAGCTGCTTTTTATTGAGCGCTTCCTGTGTGCTGGGCTCTGAGGAAAATATTTTCCATGGATTCTCCGTCTGATTTCCTTTAACTCCCCATGAGACAGATGAGCACACTGAGGCCCAGAGAGAGGAAATGTCTTGTCAAAATTCTCATAGCCAGGTGGAACCTGGATGTAAATCTACATCTGCCTGGCTCCTGAGCCTGCCTCTCAGATGGTGAGAGTTTCCAAGCCTTGGTTTTGAACTCCTTTGTCTCAGAAGGACAGGGGCTATGGGTGGAGTGGGAACTGGGGACTGAGAAACCTTCAGAGGAGGAGCTGTATTTCTCGTATGTTTGAAAATGCCAGAAAGGGCTTTCAGTGCCCTGGGAACATGGTGGGAAGGTCCCCGGGGCTGCAGGGAGAATATTCTCAAGATGAATGTTGTGATATGACAAGGTAGGGGCGGGGGAGCAGCCTTTTCTACTTCCTTCCCCATTTAGGGTAAGAAGTCATGGCTGAACAAGGGTCACCAATTAGCTAACTAACCAGGGTGCTAGGCATCTCAGCAGATGCTCATATAGGTATCATATTTAGAACTGCCATTTAGTGTTCTAGACACTGTGCCAGGCTGCATACATACATTCTTTCTCATCTTCACAACCTCATCTAGAGAGGTACTACTGCTCTCACTTTAGGGATGTGAAAACTGAGACTAAGAGAAACAATATAACTAGTAAGCACTACAAAGTCAAGGTTGGCACCTTAAGCTGTTTGTCTGTCAAACCTGTGCTCCTTTCAGTGGCTGTTCTTCAAATGAGGCTGATTGTGGGGAGCACGGGCATAGAGAACTGAACAACAGAGATTCGTTGTTTCCAGTTCTGTTTAAAGTCCTTCTGATTTTTTTTTTCCAAGGAGGAAGTCTCTGGAGCTGGAATATATTTCATACCTCTCAAGCACTTACTCCCTCTCTTTTTAAACCAAAAATCAGGAGCAGGCCCGGAATGGAGGGCTATCAGCTTTGTTTGCTTTGTTTGCCACCAGTTGGGGTTTTGTGACGTAGTTTTATTTCTGTTAAATTTATTTTTAGGATTGCCTTTTCTTTATGAGACGTGAGATGGGTTCTCCTCTCATGGCAATGAAATAAGGTTTACGTGGAAAACAAATGTACTTAATTTAATGAGAAGTAATGAATGTCATGGGCGGTACCCGGACGCAGTAAAAATGCAAGTGAGACCCGAGTTGATGGAGAAAGGGAGAGCACTGAGACCCGCATTCTCACGCGGATTCAGTCTCGGTGAAAACCTGGTCAGGTGACTCAGCCTCCCCCATCCTGAGTCTCACCGTTTGGAAAGTGAAAGGGTTGGATTTTATCGTCCCTGTTTCTCCATTTCCTGGCATCTCATGAGCAAGGGTTTGGAGGGAAAAACCATTTTGAGGCTCGGAGAGGGTAAAGGGTGAGGAGCAGAAGACTAGAAGGAAGAGGCCAGGTGCTAAGTATAGCCCCAGCCAGGACTAGGACCTGCCTCAGGACTCAGGCTTGGGGGCGGGGGTGGGGCGAGGCGGGGCAGGGTGGGGGCCTGCGGGGACTGGGGTCCTCATGTGCCTTTGAATTTTTGTGAAGAGGAAAGATGCAGGAGTCCAGCCAAAAGGAACATCTGTTTAGTTCAGAGACTATTACGGGGCTCCTGTACAATCGCTTTGTAAAATACTAGAATTATTCTCTGGGTGCTTTTGCAATCATATCAGCTGGCAGTTTTGTTAAACATAAACACACCAGATAAGAAGCAGGCTCCATTTTTTTCTGCTTTAATTCTACTTCCACTTCAATTCTAACCCCTGTCCTGGATGATTTTCACCTTCCTGCCAAGGAGGCTGCAGCAGAGATTTCAAGAGCCCTTCAAATTGCCCAATTCTGTTTTTAGGTCTACCCACAGCAACTTGATTCATGCAGAGAAAACCAATACTCAGTAAATGGACATTGCTGTGATATGTGTCCGCCAGGTAAGATGCCAGCCTTCTAGCCCTGCAGTGGGGCCCCTCTTGGTTTGCTGGCAGATGCACATCCATGTGTCATCTGTAAACTCGAGTCTTAAATGACCCCTGGGATTTCCCATCCACACCCTTCTGTCAGAATGTTCTGGGTTCCCTGTCTGCCTACCCAGGACTAGGGTTCCTATATCTATATCTGTCATGTCCCCCGCTTGACTATGAAGGCTGGAAGGGTCTGAGGCTGTCGTCTTGGAATCCTCTGCCCTTAATGCCCAGCCTGCGCAGTTTTTGGCATGCGTCTGACACATTGAGTTGGTTGGAGCTGCCTCATTTCCTGGTGCTTTTTCCAGGAAAGAAACTGGTCGAGGACTGCACGGTCACATCCCCCACAGTATGCCGCCCTTGTGGTCGAGGCGAATTCCTGGCGATCGAGAACAGCGAGAAATACTGTCATCCGCACAGATACTGCGACTTGAGTGCGTGGGCTGCTGGGGAACGGGAGCTTGGGAGCTAGGCTGATATTGCAGCATATTCCTGAGAGTGCAGCCATTCTGTGTGTTTTTTTTTTTCTTTAATAGCCAGGATCTGTTTTGATTGGTTGGAGTCTAGGTTGTAGTACTACTTATGAAATAATTTGATAGCTATCCTTACGTGGAAGAGGGTCTAAGAAAAAAGTAGAACAGGAAGTGTGAGGCGTGGGGCCCTGAGAGCGGCCAGCAAGGGGTTCCCATCCTTCCTACCCATCTCTGCACAGACCTAGGACTCCAGGTCCAGACGGAGGGCACTTTGTCAACAGACACGACTTGCATATGTCAGGAAGGCCACCACTGTGTCAATGACAACTGCGATGGCTGCACCCCGCACAGCTCCTGCCCTCCTGGCTCTGGGGTCAAGCAGATCGGTAAGTGGCCTGTCTGAGAATGAGCTCTAGAGGCCAGAGAGAGTGGCCGAGGGCCAAAGGCAAGGGGCTGGGCAATGAATGGGCACTCAGCCCCAGAGGTGGAGGGAATGGAGGCCCCAGCCTACATCAGTATGTCTCCTAGAGTGAGCAGGAAATGAACCTTTTTCATTCTGCCTCCTGCCATGGTATCTGCCCTGGGAGGGCAGGGGGAGAACATTTCCTAAGGGCTGGAGCAGCTGGGGGAGGCTGCATGCTGGGGCAGGAGTGCTTAAAGCAGGAAGATTTTGCTGTCCTGCCTGTCTCCTGGTTCACTGGAGAGCCAGACAGGTGTTCCACTGTGATGAGTCATGCTTTCTTCTCCCTCCCAGCTACAAATTTTTCTGATACCATCTGCGAACCCTGCCCAGTCGGTTTCTTCTCCAATGTGTCATCTGCTTCTGAAAAATGCCACCCTTGGACAAGGTATAAGAACTCACCCCTTGTGTTCCCTGCCTACAGAGGGGTATGGGGTCTGCTGCCATTGGATCCGGCCACCTGTCCTTCAGCCCCAGCGCCCATGTCCGCACACACTCCTGCACTTGTAAAACATCTGACTTTGTGGGCAGCTGGCCAAATGGGCGCTTGTCCGCATTTTCTTGTCTGCAGTCTCTTGGTGGTAATAGATACTCTTGATCTCTCTGTCTTTCGTGAAACTCTCTTAGGCACATTGTAGTACCTACCTCTCCTACTTTCCTTCTACCCTTCCCTGCTCTTCCTTTCTCCTTCGTACCTGTTTTTTTCTAGGTCTTTGTTCTGCTCTACTCTTCAATCACTTTGCTGCCTCGCCTGGGCCGTCTTATCCATATCCATGGCTTCAAGCTACCATCTCTCTCAGGTGATTCTCAACCAACACCTCTTGTCTATATTTGTCTCCTGTCTGGGACTGTCATAGTCAAATGCCAAGGGTACGCTTCCATGCCGGTGACCCACAGGCTCACCTTCTTGCTCTTCTCGCCATCTGTGAAAGCCACCACCATGCCTTTGGGCCCTCGTCCTCTGGTCCCCAACCTTCCCTCCAACCCCAAATCAGTCACCAGTCCCTGTCCGCCTTGCCTTCTAGATGTTTGGGAACTCCTCCTTCCCACCATCTCGATGTTGCCACTTCAACTTAGGCCTCATCGCCTGGGTCTGGGTGATGCCTTAGCCTCCTCACTGATCTCCCCGCCTCTAGTTTTCCCCCCTCATCCAGTTCTCCATTCGCTTGCTAAAGCGAGTTTTCTGCAGTTCCTTTTGGATCACAGCACTCCCTGTTTAACATCTTTCACAGCTCTCTGGGCCTCTGGGACAAAACCCATACTCTTTTGCACAGCCCCCAACCTTCCAGCTCCATTTCCTGATCTCTTCCCACATCCTGCTACTTGGAATCCCAACACACTGCCAGTCTCTTGCATCAGACCCTTCTGCCGGAACACCCTTGGACACACGCCCCATTAACTGTTTACCTTTAATTTAAAAAAATGGGTAAGAGAGGCCCACAAGACAGAAGGCACACAAGGGCCTACAGGGATGGGTCTCCTTTTTACCCCTGTCCCTCAGCCACCCATTTATCCCTGGAGGCAGCCACACTATTGCTTGTATGTTCTTCCAGAGACAAACACACAAACACATGCATGTGCACATGCAAACATATGTATTGTCCACACAAATTGTAGCATGCCATACATACTTTGTTGTTTACTGCAAGCTCCTTAAATGTAGAGACTTAGCTTTTTTTTCTCTCCCGCTGATGCATCCCTTATGCCTAAAACAGTGCCCAGACCATAGTAGGTGTTCAGTAATTTTTTACTGATAAATGTTGACCAATGATTGGCGGCGTGTTGGGGCAGTAGAGGCAGAGCGCCGGGCTCCACCCTCAGTGCAGCTTAGGAAGGGTATGGCCCTGTGCAAGTGTGTGACCTTCAGCCCTCTGAGCCTCAGTGCCCTCCTCTGGAAAACGGAATGACGTTTGTCTCATGAGGCTTGAGGAAAAGGCGTGTAGACATGTTTTGTAAGCTCGTAAGCACTCTTCTCATGTAAGACTCTTCTCATGTATGTGTTCTCTTTGAAGCTTCTCTCTCTTTCCCCCATTTTAGATTGTTTTTTCTTTGGGATGGCCTCCTCTGACCATTCCTCACCAGCCCTCCTGCGACCACGTTGGATTGGGTCTTCCCCTATCTAGCCTCTTGCCACAGCCTCTGGCTGCCCGCTTTCCTGTCATTTCTCCTCCTGTGAGCTCTTTGGCCGATGGAGTCCTCTTGCTGCTTCTGCCTGGATATGGATGTGACTCACCAGCGGAATCCAGTCAAGACCTTTGTGGCCGATTATCAGCGATCTGATTCTAAAGACTCAGTTTTTCCACGGTTCCCTCATGTCATCTGGCACATCACCTCCCTCCCCCGCCCCCCCATCTCAGTATCACGTTGGCCTGCTTAGCAGGAATGTGCCACTGCTCCGGAGCTGACCTCCTTCAAGGCCCGCTCAGACCTCACTTCCCCAGGGAAGTCTTTCTGGATGTCTCTTAAGCCGGAGGCTCTCATCTGAACAATTTTGTCCCCCAGGGGACACATGACAATATCTGGAGATGACACTGGGAAAGGGGATGTCACTGATATCTGGTGGGTGGGGGCCAGGGGTGCTGATAAGCATCTGACAGTGCACAGGACAGCCCCCATAAGGGAGAGTTAGGTGGCCCAATGTGTCAGCGGTGCTGAGGTTGGCAAGCCCTGCCTTAAACCGAGTGGATCATTTCTCCACTCCAGCCATTGTGGATTTCATCTCTTCTCTGAACAATTCCTGGTTCACTTGAGCCTGTGTCACAACACGTGGCGCTCATTAGAGACTCTCCTATTATCACCCCTTCCAGATGTATAGTAATCTTTTCTCTCCACTCATGAGTTCCATAAGAACAGAGTTTGCATCGTAACCAGCACGGAGGGGGCATATGATACGTGGTCAGTGAGGCTGGACTTGACGGTGGTTGACGGGCTCTCCCCCTGGGGTTGGAACACTTACGGTTGGGGAAACTTAATGTCTTTTTCTCTCTCTCTTTCTGTGTGCGCACAGCTGTGAGATCAAAGGCCTGGTGGAGCGGCAAGCAGGGACTAACAAGACTGACACCGTCTGCGGTGAGTCCTGGGGAATGGGTCCTGGCAACAGGCTGGAAAGGTAGGCAGCTAAAGAGGGAGACTGACGCACACAGAGACAATGGGTGCGAGAGGAGGAGGTGGTTTGGAATTGTGGCATCTCAGCTCTGCCACTTACGGATGCCGCCTGGGCGAGTCATCTCCTCTCTTGAGCCTCCGCTCCTTCACCCGTGCAAAGGGACGATAAGAGCACCTCCCTTGGTAGACGGGGGTAAGCACGTGGCATGGGCTCTTGCACTTTGAAAGGGCTCCATCAGAGCTGTCTTGCTACCCTGCACTTCAAGTGCCAGCGTGGCATGACACGGTTTCCTTTCAGGGCCTCAGTTTTGATTTTACAGTGAGGCGCTTGGCCTGCCCCACAGATCACAGACTCACATAACTACAGGGACTAGGCAGGTCATGCGAATGAGTAAAAAAGGTCAGAGGTAAGAAAAATGCACTGTCTTTGCTTTTCCTTAACACTCATTTTCCTTTTGGCACGGCTGGGATGGGAGGGGGGTGAGCCAGGCCCTTGCCTTGGGTGCCAGAAAAATGCAGAATCAAGATAACATTTTGATGCAAAATTTTAAAAAGAATCAGAGTTAATGCAAAAAAAAAAAAAACAACCAAAAAAACAAAAACCCATCACGAACAAGATATAAGATTTTAACTAAAGACGTGGCCCAACCCTGCCCTTGCACAGCTCCACCTCCCCTGCCTCAGCCTACTCTTGGCCCTGATTCCAAGGAAACTTTATCTGAAGGATAGGCAGCCAGCCGGCAGGCCTTAATTTTTCAAAACAGGACATTAAAATATTACTTATTTTGATTACTGAGTTTTTCGGTGTCCCCTTAAGTTTTGCCCTGGGTGTATGCCTTACCCTAACCTCTGCCCTGTCTCTTGGTCTTTCTTTTATGTTCCCATTTGGAATGGAGGCTTAGGTACAAGAAATAGGCGTTAATCTCCCTTCCATTCTTCTGTAACAAAGGCAACAGTGCAGATGTAAATGACCCTGGACCTCAGGACCGGGCAGAGGGGCGGGAGGGCCTGGGGGCGTGGTGAGCGGTGGAGACAGCCCCCACCACCTAGTTCTGGCCTGTGAAGGCCTCGGCTGCCGGCCCACTGGGGCTACATCTTCCACCTTTCAAAGAGAAACCAGGTATCTAGATTTTATATAGTCTATCTCCCCAAATTAAAATGTTATAAACAATTTTTCAGTGTGCTGGTCATACTATAGACACCTGCTGGCCTCATTTCACCACGGCCACGTGTCTGAAACTTCGGGTGCAGATGAGCTCAGACACGGAAGGCGTTTAGAGTCCCGGAGGGCGCCACAGCTTCGGGGGTGGGGGTGGGAGCCCTCGCTGAAGTCTCGATTTCTCCAGATTTCCAGGATCGGATGAGAACCCTATTGGTGGTCCCCATCATCATGGTGATCATGCTGAGTGTCCTGTTGATGTACGCCTGCATCAGTGAGTCCCCAGGGGGGAGACGATGAGGGAGGCAGGCAGGGGGGACAAGGAATGTGGACCTGGCTCCCCGTTTCCTGCTCTGGTCTCACTCACTCCCCATCCTATTGCTTTTTCTCTCTAGAAAAGGTGGCTGAGGAGGCAGACACAAAGGTAGGTCTCCCTTGGGAACGAACCCCCTCTCAGTTTTGGCAAACTGGAGAGGAGATTGACCGATTGTTGTTTCTATGGCAGTAAAACTGATTCGGGGTCTGCCCTGTGGTCAGTGTGGGGGCCACAGAACTGGCCACTCCCCCACCCCCAAGCCTGTACTCCAGGGCTCCTCCCTTTCACTCCCTCAGTGCCGACCTTTGCCATCCTCAGAGCTCACCTCCCCACAGAGCTGTCCCGGTGCCCCTGTCAAAGTTAATGGTGTCATTTGCAGTTTTTTCCGGCATTCAATATGTGGGGAATCGCTTCGGGGCCTCGGTGCAGGAGCCATGGCCGGACTGGAGGGGCAGCTCCTTGAACTCACTGGAAGCTTCTTGACGCCCTTGGTGTGGCCAGCAGGGGGCAGGAGGCACCCATGGAATCAGCCCTGCTTTGGGAAAGAGGAAGGGGCTTGGGGAAGATCCCCTGTGAGGGAAGGGCTCCTCCGAGGTCTTGCTGGGGGTAACTTCACCCTTTGACTTTCCAGCCCCCCTGTCCTAAGGACAAAAGGCAAGACCCCGAGGAGTCAATATATCTGGAAGACGCCGTCGGCCCCCTCCCCAATCCGGTGCAGGAGACCTTACTCGGGTGCCAGCCGGTCACGCAGGAGGATGGCAAAGAGAGCCGCATCTCGGTGCAGGAGAGGCTGTGAGGCTGTGAGTGCTCAGGAGCGTGGCAGCCTGGACAAATGGGCACATGGCTGGGGAGCCTGGAGCTGCTGCTGCGACATGAGGGCGAGGGGCTGGCGACAGGCACAGCTCCCCTCTGCCTGCACCGCTGTGGCTCAGAAATACTCACCTTGGGGGGAACCTCCCACTGCAGCCTGGAGCCTATTCAATCTCCCAACTTGCTTTTAAAGATGGAGGCAAAACTTTTTTTAGTTGGGGGGAGCAAATAAGATCATCAAACTCTCCAACCCAGCAGTTCAGTGCCCACGATGGTTTCTGTGAGCCCAAGGGACATCTACATGAATATCATCGCAGCGCTGTTTGTGGCAGTGAACAAATGGAAGCTACTTAGCTGTCCATCAACAGGGGACTGGTTAAATAAAACTGTAATATTTTTATGCAACTGGATCTCAAAAACACTGTCATGGGGAAAAAAGCAGGTTGCAGGATCATGGGCACGAAATTCTTTTTTTAAAGCACATACGGATAAGATGATCTATCACCTATGGGTATGTGTGGAAGCATAATCTATGCGTATATGTAAGTATAACAAGGTTCTGGAAGGATACACCGCAAATGCACAGCTCGAAGAGTTGTAATGTCTGGGTTGGGGAGAAGGCTCTGGCGGAGGGCTGGTAAAAGAAGACTTGGCTTTCCCAGAAGGCTTCATTCCCCCGCCCCCACCCCGAAAAGGAGAGTGAATTCATATAACTGCTTATGTAATTAAAAAGTCATCAAACATGGAAAAAGAAAAGCGGGGGTGGACATGCCGGGTGACATGAGCTGCTTAATTTGCTGTTAGGCTCAAAGAAGTAGGGCACTTTTGGAGGACAAATAAGAATGTCCCCAGGCTGCTACCCTTCCCTGTGTGCTCACACTTGGCACCATGTTTGCAAAGGGTTCTCTCCATTCCATTCATGTTCACACAAACAGCCTTGGGGGCCGGCAGGGCCCACGTCCCTCCCTCTGCAACGGAGGGGGCACCAGGCCCAGAGAGGTGCAGCGACTTGCCTGTGGTCACACAGCAGTTCGTCCTCACATGCCACTCTGAGCTCCCCACACCCGGTCCTGCGCTGCTGCTTCCAGACCTTCTGACCTCTGGAGCCCAAATCTGTCACTCCTTGCCGAGGAGATCTTGGGCCTCCTGCCTCCTTCTGACCTCCCAACTGCTACAGGAGCTGCCGCTTCTCGGTCAGATGGCACCCCCTTCTCCCCAGCAGTATCTTAGGATAAAAATAACCATCCTGTTCTCTTTTCTTGCTGTGCCAACTGAGGGGGCGCCTAGCCAGGAGGAGCAGCAGATGGAGTAGGAGCAGAGGGGAGGGGAGGGGAGGGGAAGGGAGGGGAGGAAGGTTTTAGGACAAGGGGAGAAAGAAAAGTCATGCAAAGACCTGGCATGATGAGGCCAGGCCGGTTTAACCCACGGATCTCAACCCCTCCCCCCTCTCTCTGCAAGAAGCCCCAATGTGTCTTATTGACTGGAGAGGGGTGGGGCAGAGAGGGCTTGTCCCTGATGGAGGCTGTGAGGACAGTTGGGAGTCAAGAGAGGTGCACCTGGCTTGGCAGGCTTCCCAGAAGAGCTTCGAGAACCATTTGGATGTACCAGGTGGAGATATTTAGTTTAGAAAGAGGAGCAAAGTGGTGAGGAGGGGTGGGGGAGGGGTGCTTGAAGACCTCACCCTCATCCCCTTCCAAGAGTCCAAATGCTACTGTTACCTCTGCGCATGGCAATATGGTGGAAAGAGACAAAAGACCCGCCCCCTCTGCTAGCTATTATCTGTGGGTCACTTTTCATCTTTTAGTGTCTCCATTTCCTTATCTGGCAAATGGAGACAGTACCCATAGCAGCTGCTATTGGTGTCTCCTTTGCATTCTCCTGGGTCAGAGGTTCTCAGTTTTGAGCATGGATCAGAACCATCGGAAAGACAGATTGCTGGGCCCCACCGCCAGTGTTTCTGACCGAATGGGTCTGGGATAGAGCTCAAGAATTGCATTTCAAACCAGTTTCCCAGGTGATGCTGCAGCTGGTCCAGGGACCACACTTTGAGAACTACCACCCTTGACACTTAGATTTCTAGATAAGCAGTCGGTTTCCTATTGCAAGCACTTGGGGTCACTTCCCTCGGGCCTCTCCCTGGTCTTGAAAACATGCTTGGTGCAGGTGCGAGGCAGATCAGCTATACCTGAGGGAGTTAATAACCTGGAACAGTCTCAACCAACTGAGACTGAAAGTTGGAGAGCAAGTGGCCCAGCCTCCTTGCCCGTGGGAGGCACACATCTGAAGAGTGGTCTATACAGTGAGGGATCGAGCCCCAGCTGCCCCTCCTCTTTGGCTCCCTTCCCTTCCCTGTCTCGCTTCCCCACCCCCAGTGGTGCTTTTGAAGTTCAGCTTCTGAATCAACTACCGACATTCTTTCCTTGTCACAGAGTCTGCTTCCGGGAGAAGGCCCCTCTAAAAGCCGGCAGAGCTCATGCATAAGAAAGTACGCGTTTGGTACACTAGTCCCCATATCCGCGGTTTCACTTTCCTCGGTTTCAGTTATCGGCGGTCACCTGCGGTCTGAAAATTTTAAGGAGAAAATTATAGAAGGAAACAATTCATACGTTTTAAATTGCACACTGTTCTGGGCATCGTGATGAAACCTTGTGCCGTTTGCTTTTATGCCGTCAGGGACATGAAGCGTCTCCTTGTCCCGCGAACTCACGCAGTCAGGCACCTGTCTCCGTTCCCAGATCGGTTATCAGAAAAAGACCACACTCACATAACTGTTACCACAGTAGATGGTTATAATTGTTCTTTCTCACTATTAGTGTGGTTAATCTCTTACTGTGCCTAATTTATAAATGAAACTTTATCAGAGGTATGTATATGCCTAATATAAGGAAAAAACATACTATATCTAGGGTTCAGGCTTTCTCTGGGGCTCTTGGAACGTATTCCCTGGGGAGAAGGGGGTCTGCTGTATATCTTAGGGCCCCTGACAGGGGGCTGTTCTTCACGAGAGCAGCAGCGAGTTCTGTGTTCTAAGTGGAGCTCAGCCAGGAGCTTGTGACCCCGGGGAGTTGCTCTCTCGTTCCGGGCTTTTTTAGCCCCGGCTGTGTGACGACGGCTGGGGCCCTAGGAGCTCTCAGGGACTTTCCAATTCTACAAATAAGAGGGTCAGCCCATGAGCAGGGGTGTCCCATTTTTTGGTGTCTCTGGGCCACACAGAAAGGAGAAGGGTTGTCTTGGGCCACATGTTAAATACACAAACACTAACGAAAACTGATGAGCGGAAAAAAAAGAGCTTTTAAGTTAATTTACAATTCTGTGCTGGGTCACATTCCTAGCCAGCCTAGACCACCGCCCACAGGAAATTATTATCCTGTGGGCGGTGGGCTGGATACCCTTGCAGGTCCTTCTCAGCCTGTGAGTTGAGGGATAGGTGTGAGGCACATATCATCCAGAGGGTGGCGCCAAGGTAACGTCCGAAGACCCTGGTGGCCAGCCTTTGCCAGTTCTCACTCCACATCCTGCCCTTACTTTCGAGATGAGGCCTTTCCTGCCCTGGCCCTCGGCCCATGGGCTGAGCTTCCTGCAGCCTCTGTTCTGCAGCTGCATCCATTCCCTGGGTCAAGCCTCCACCTCTACCTTCATTTAACAGTATCGACTGCATTGCTACTGGGGCCTCGTCTTGCACTAGGGTTGTGCAGACACACGAAGAGATCGAGGGCTCCCTTTGTGCTGGGCATGGTTCTCAGGACCTTCTTTGCACTGTCTTAGTCCGGAGGACACCCCGACACCAGGCATAGTCTCATGTCATCCATTTCACAGATGGGGCTCAGAGGCTAAATGATTCGCTAAGTAAGGCCTGAGGAATGAGAACTAGGGTTTGGACCTAACTGGGTTGGCCTCAATGCCTGTGGTTTGTAGCCATTTAGCGAGAAGAGGAAGAGGTGCATGGTAACAGGCCTTTAAAGGACAGTGTGACTGCCCGGGACAGAGGGGAAGCCCGGAGCACGGGCAGCTAACCTTTAGGGCCGGGATGCAAACTCACACACACGGGGCCTGGAGAGCGAGGCAGGCCCACTCAGGACGAGCCAGGACGGACAGCAGGGGCTATGTCTGGCCAAATGGAGAGGCTCCGCCCATCTCTGGGGGGTAGCATCTGTCAGCTCTTTCCAATGGTTGCCCTGCAGGAACAAGCATTATATATTGCTGGGAATCCAGATTTCCATGTGAAATTGCCCAATATTTAAATGCCACCAATTGCAAAAATTAAAAAACTCAGCAAGAGCCCAAGAAAGCATGTCACCAAGGCTTGGAATGAAAAGACACTGGAAATGTCATTGTGTCCAAACTTGTTGTTTATGTATGGGGAAACTGAGGCCCTGGGAGGGTCCAGACCCCAGACAGGTAGGGCGGCGCAGGCAGGTAGTCTCCTGGCTCAGCACCCCAGCCAGGAGGCTGGAGAGAACCCCTGGGGGCTTAGGCTCCACCTGTGCCAGTCTGGGGAACGGGGGCTAAGGCACCCGCATCTAGGGCTGAGGGAATTGCCTTGGGAAGAAGGCTATGCTGGGGGTAGCTGTTCTCTCCGTTCTCTGACATCCCTCCCATCCCGGAGCTCCCCAGGCATGCGCACAATACCCTCCCCTTAAGCCTTCAGGGCCCTGCAGCCGATTCCTTGGGCAGCAGAAGTTATTAAAGACTCTTCCCAGAAGGGTTTCTCTCCCCCAGAGTGATTCTGGCACAGAAAATTACAAACCCACCTGCGGGGGTGGGGAGATACAGTTTTAATTTGTTAAAAAAAAAAAAAAAAAGACCAACCCATGCTGTGGTCCTGGAGCCTGGGGGAAGGAGACAGCCCATGAGGGGGGCTCCCCTGGGGCATGCAGCACTGTTTCTGGGGAAGAGGGAGCTCTGGGAGGGGGCTCTGGGAGGGGCTCAGCAGGGGAGCCAGCAGCTTTTGCCTAGAGAGTTGGGGCCAATGGGTAGGGGCTGGGGGGACTAGAGGGGCATCCCGCTTCTACTTAGACCCCCCCCCCCGCCCCTGGGGCTCTTGGCCTCTCTCCCTGACTGGCACATCCAGCTGGGCCTTGGCGCCCAGCAAATGCCCTGCCTCTCTGCCCTCCGGGGCTGCTCCCCTGCAGCCTCAGTCCCTCCCTCCACACCCCCTACCCTGCTTTCTGCCTTGCTCCGGACCCACGACCACTTTTCCTTCTCCCGGCAGTTCGCCTCACCTTTGTTCTCTTTCAAGCGAACGTGATTGTTGTGGCCAATTCGGAAAGTCAGACCTGGCATCACAAGCCCCATCCAAGCAAAAACAGGAAAATGCAACCACCCGTAAACCTCTCACCACCCCCGCTAACCACAAGTTTCAGG